CTGGCAGGTGGCATGGTGGTAGAAGGCTCTGAACTCCCACATGGCCAACCACGGTTTGAGTCCCGGACTTGGCGCCTTGTTTTCTCACTTTAACTCACTCCTCTTCTCTTCTCTTCTCTTCTCTCTCCCCAGACACGTTCAGGTCAAATTAAAATAAATAAATAAATAGATCAGCAGTTAGCATAATAGCTATGTTGCTGGACTCCCATGTAGTTGACCACAGTTCATGTCCTAGGCCCAGTGGCTTAAATTCACGCCAAGCGTGTGTGCATGCGTGCCCAAGATCCCGAGAAGAGAATGGAGGAGAAGGGACTGCAGCGTGGCCATCCCCTCTGGGGGGTGATTTCTCACTTTTTGTCTCTCATCTCTCTCTGTCACTCTGGTGAGCACACGCAACCTATAGCAAAAATCTCTCCAAAATAAATAAATAAAATAAATAAATAAAGTTAAATATTCTTAAAAAATAAAAAGGGGGGAACCAGCAGTTAGCGTAATGGCTATGTTGCTGGACTCTCACGTAGTCGACCGTGCACGCGCCCTATAGCGAAAATCTCTCAAAAAATAATAATAATAATAAAAATAAAAAATGAAAAAAGTAAAAAGGGAGTCCCTCAAACTCCCTAACCAGTTATTACCTTAAAGTCAATGTCAAACTTAAGATAACACATACTGCTATAATACATAACTTCAATCAAGTACACAGTATGTTGGACCAAGAAAGATACCTAAGTCTCAGGAGTTAGCAAGTGGTTTTATGATTAAGGTGCTAGACTCCCACATGGTCGACCACAGTTAACGTTCTGAACCCAGTGGCTTGAAACACACTGGGCACAAGTGTGTGCATGCCCAAAATCCCAAGAGGAGAATAGAAGAGAAGGGATTACAGCATGACCAGTCCCCTGTGGGATGATTTCTCATTTTCTCTTTCATTCATGCTCTCCAGCGAGCACACGTACCCTATGGCAAAAAACTAAGGGAGAAAAAATAAAAATACCTAAGTCTTAATGACTACAGATTTTAAAAATATTTTTAAATAGTATCCTTTTTCATTATTTTTTCTGACCTCTCTGTATCAGCACTGTTCAAGCAAACTTTATGTGATAAGAGAAAATTCTACATTTGTATTGTCCAAAATATAGTACTTCCAGTTGATGCGGCTATGGATCATTTGAAACTACTAATGCAGGGACCAGAGGATGGCATAATGGTTATATCACTGGACACCCACGTGAATCGTGTACCCAGCGTCTTAAAACTCATGATGGGTGTATGTAAGTACATGCCCCAAATCCCAAGAGGTGAAAAGAGAAAGGATTGCAGCATAGCCATCCCCACAGGGGATGATTTCTCGCTTTCTCTGTCTCTCTATGTGTATGTGTGTCTCTCTCTCCTGTGAGCACACATGCCCTATAGCAAAAATCTTCTAAAAAAAAGAAGAAAAAACTACTAGCGCAAATGTGGAATTTAACTTAAAGTAATTGAAACAGATGTGACTACTGGCTAAGATATTACATAGTACAGCTCTCGATCTATTTTGTATGATTCCCTTTTAATAAAATGACCTAGCTGAAAAAGAAATTTTTTTCTGTTAAGGGAGAAATTTCAGTGAAGCGTCAATGCCAACGTGGTTAAAGAAGCTATTCCTTAAGGAATTAACCAGTAGTAAAGAAAGAATTCTGAGTTCTAACTCCAGCAAAGAAAGAAAATTCAAAACCATATCCAAGGAACCAGCAGTTATCGTAATGGCTATGTCGCTGGACGCCTATGTAGTCGACTGGGGTTCGCTTCCTGGACCCGGTGGCTTAAGCTCACGCCGGGCACGTGTGCGTGCGTGCCCAAGATCCCAAGAGGAGAATGGAAGAGAAGGGATTGCGGCATGGCCATCCCCCCCTGGGGGGGGGTGATTTCTCGCTTTCTATCTCTCTGTCTCTCTGGCGAGCATACACACCCTATAGCAAAAACCTCTCCCCTACCCCACCCCCCCAAAAAAAACCCATATCCAAGAGCACTGATTATTTCAAAACTACCTCTCCCTGCCAAAGCAATACATTTAGGAAAAATGGTACACTTTTTTAAAAGAACCTATTTCCAGGGCTTTCTCTGTGGCATAGGGGTAACGTGCTCAAGAGAGACTAGATCCTACAGGCAATCATGGTTCAAATACCCAGCCAGTTGTCCTGAAAAAGGCCATGCATGTGGAAGTGCCCAAGATCCGATGAGCTGGAGGGGATAGTGGCATGGTGACTAGGGACTATGAAAGGTGCTTCCCTCCTATAATTCCCTTCATGTGCATGTGCATACACCCTTTCATAAATAGAGAAATAAATTTAAATCATTAAAAACCCAGAGTGGGGACCAGCAGATAGCATAATGATTATGACTGGACTCACACATGGCCAACCACAGTTCAAGTCCCAGAGTTGGAGGTTTGAAACTCACACTAGGTGTTGTGTGTTTGTGTGCCCAAAATCCTGAGAGGAGAATGGAAAAGGAAGGACTGCGTGTGGCCATTCCCTCTATTTGGTCATTTCTGGCTTTCTGTCTCTTTGGAGAGCACACAAGCCCTGTAGCAAATATCTCTCTACAAAAACAAACAAAAAGGGACCAATAGTTAGCATAATGGCTATGTCACTGGAATCCCATGTAATCGACCACAGGTCAAGTCCCAGACCCTGTGGCTTAGACTCACCCCGGGCGCGTGTGCATGCGTGCCCAAGATCCCAAGAGGAGAATGGAGAAGGGATTGTGACGTGGCCATCCACTCTGGGGGGTGATTTTTCACTGTCTCTCTGTCTCTCGCTCTCTCTCTGGTGAGTGTACATGCCCTTATAGCAAAAACCTCTCCAAAACAAACAAACAAACAAACAAGCCCAGCAGTCTGGCAGTCAGCAAATGTGATGCAGCTCTACCATTAGTGCCTGGGTCTCATGTTCTATGAGCTGCAATAGAAGCTCCAACATTACCAGGGATTTCAGCAGATGAACTACTGATAACATCAAAACTACCTAGAACCCTTTCAGTTAAGCACTGAGACAGTATTACCAAATCTTCAAGAAAAATGCAGAATTTTATATATTTGGCAATTTTTAGTTTTCCCTTATATCACTGATGGTAAAAGTAATATGTGCTATGAGGTTATTTATATAACTTTACAACGTCATTAATGGTTTTTTAAAGTAATCAATACTCAAGAAGCCACTGAATGTTGGGATAAATGTGAAACAGAAACCAATGAACCTGGTGAACTGAAGCAGAAACCCCAAAATGACAAATCAACCAGAATTTAAGATTCAAATTAACTTCAGACCCAAATAAAGACGTCCAACCAAATAAACAATATTCATAGCTCAGGTGCATACTACATACCAGCAATTTATCATAAAACCAAGATTCCTACAAATGGAGGGGAGGGGGTCTTTAAAACGTTTATGGGAAATGTATATTATGAAAAAACTATGCATGTGAAAAGAGGGAGAGAATGCATTCTCAGATGGGTATGGTCATAATGTAATTCCTTCTCTTCCATTTCTCTATCCTGTCAGGATTTTGAGCATACATACATTCATATGCACCCCTGTGTATTTTCCAAGCTGCTGGAGCCAGGATTCAAACCACAGCTGGCTATGCAGGATCCAGCTCCCTTAAACACTAGGCTATCAGGCTGCCCCTCTACCCCTTAACTTTTTTTACACCAAAATAAACTTGCATTTTAATTCTATATTTCCACAAACTTCTTAAAGTCCCTTTATATTTCATAAAAGAATAACCAAAGCCAATTTGGTCTTTAATATGTGTATCTGGGCAATGAATTCACTTCAGAAAGATGAAAAATAATATGTACCCAATTGTATTATTTTGGTAGTGTCTGCAAAGTACAGGTAATAAATCTCTTACATCTTATAATCTATATATTTCACCTACAAAGAAGTAAAATTATTTTGAGAAACACAGATTTTCTTTTTAAAAAAGAACATATTTCAAAAACATTTAAAACCTGACAACTGTTGATTCTTTAACAATTCTAATAGAAAGCTGCTAGTAAAATTTAACAATAATGACTTTCCATTATTTCTAAGAACCATCTGTTGGTCTCAAATTAAAAAAATACAACTCATTCAAATTACTCTTCACTAAAGAACAGTTGTAAAATCACTATAAAATAAATATACCCCAGAATACATTACTGATTCTATCTTTCAAATATAGTGCCTCTGATTTGTTTATATTAAGTATAAAAACATTATAGAAGTTTATTTTCTACAAGCTTATAGAAAAAAAATGAAATAAGAATGCACTAAATTAAGACAAAATTAATGTTAGAAAATGTGAGTATTTTGTTAATAACTGACAAATATAAAAAAATTTAAAGGACATGAAAATTTTTAACCTAAATCATATACTTTGTTAAATATTACAATCTAATATATTCCTTTGCTCAACTGATGTTAATTTTATGAAGGAAAATTTAACTGCAAAATGATATGGTACATCGAAAAGTATATATATATGTAACCAGGAAACTCAGGGCATGTTTAAAAGCATTTGTGGGGACCAGCAGTTGGTGCAATGGCTATGTCGCTGAAGTCCCATGTAGTAGACCACGGTTCGAGTCCCGGACCCGGTATCTTAAACTCACACTGGGCACGTGTGTGTGCATGCCCAAGATCCCGAGAGGAGAATGGAGAAGAAGGGACTGCGGTGTGGCCATCTACCCTGCCTGGGTGATTTTTTGCTGTCTCTCTCTGTCTTTCTGGCGAGTGCACGTGCTCCATAGCAAAAAATTGGTTTTCGGGTGAGTCCCCGGGCCCCATAGCAAAAAATCTCTCAAAAAAAAAAAAAAAAAAACGCATTTGTGTTTGTATGGCTTCATAAGATGAAATGAGAACTAAAGAACTCATTAAAGAACTTTTGTCATTTCTTAAAATAAAAGTACATATGTGCATTTTATGACACTTACTAATGTGTGTTTTCTCTCCAGTTGGACACTGAATAAAATTTACCTGTTTTGTTGACTTTTTTGTGCCATTAAAAATCTTCCAAGCTAGTCCATTGCCACCACTGGCAATATGTCGACCAACATCGAATTCTCTAGTGACAGGATTTCCCATTACAGCACTAGTGACATCAGCAGTTACTTTTGTAACGGTGCTCTTCAATTTATTAAGCATGGACTCCATGGCTGCAATATTGGGTAATTATAGTTACCTAGAAACACAGAAAGGCAAAGGAGAAGTGATCAATTGTTTTTATCTGTATGAGCACTAAACAGTGACAGCTTCCATTAAAAATTTAACATTCCCCAAACAATGAATAATCCCAAATAAATAAAAATCATACCTTGGTTTTATCATCAGAGAATCCAACATAGTTGAGTACAAATTTAAGTCTAGAAACCAAACTTTTGTTCTCACAAGCCAGGAAAAGACATATTCTTTTTTTATTTTTTTTAGAGAGCGATTATTGATATAGGGTATATGTACTCGCCATACAGACAGAGACAGACAGAAAGTGAGAAATCCCCTCCCCCCCAGAGAGGATGGCCATGTCACAATCCCTTCTCCTCCATTCTCTCAGGACTTTGAGCATGCACACACATGGGTGAGTTTAAGCTGCCTGGGTCTGAGACTCAAACAGCAGTACTATGTAGGAGTCTAGCAATGCAACAATTATGCCATCTACTGGTCCCATAAATATTCATTCTTGACACTGATATGAGGAAGAGAATGAAATTGTTCAACTATATATGTCCTTTTAGACTTAAGTAGTGGGTCCAGCAGGCAGTGTGGTAGTTAAGACGCTAGACTCTCTCATGGCGGACTGTATTTAAGTCCTGTTCGGGATGTTATTTATCTTTCTTTCAAAATAAATAAATATTTTTTAAAAAATCAAGGATGTGATTAACAGATAAGGTACTGTAGGGGGAAAAAATAATAATGCAATCTGAAGTTAGGACCAGCTCTGTAGTCTTGTGGTCTATGAAGTTACTGTAAATCCCACAAGGCCAACTGTGGTTCATGTTCCAGCCCTAGTGGCTTGAAGAACAAAATAGGTGCATGTGTGTGCATGCCCCAAATCCCAAAAGAATGGAGAAGGAACTGTGACAAAACTATGTTCCATTGTAGGGTGCTTCCTCCTCCCACCTCTTTCAAGCACTCTGGCAATTAAAAGAAAATAAAAAAACAAACACAAGGAGCCGGCACATGGCATAATGGTTACATCATTGGACTCCCACGTAGTTAACAGCGGTTCAAGTCCTGGACACAGTGACTAAACTCATGCCAGGCACATATGCGCGTGTGCCCAGGATCCTGAGAGGAGAATAGAGGAGAAGGAATTGCACCATGGCCATTTCCCCCAGGGAGTAATTTCACACTTTCCAACTCTGTCTCTCTAGTGAGTACACTTGTTATATAACAAAAATCTCTCTTAAATAACAAAACAAAACAAGACAAAACAAAACCCCTGAAGACTGAATAAAACCTGAAAAAGGGGGGAAAAAAAGAACAATTACCTATGGGACAATATTACAGGTTTAACATATGTAAATAGATCCCCAAGATAAGGAGAACAGGGGGAAAATTTTTGAGAAAATAGGCGAAATTTTTCCAATTTGATGAAACTATACAATGTTCCAAGAAATTCAATGAACTACAAGGAGGATAAACACAAAGAAAATCATGCCTACATATATAATAACATATAGCTAAAGAAAAACTGTAAAAGCAACTGGAGATGCCAATAGGTAGAAAAGAGCTTAAAGTGGATGGATCCCACATTGCTGACTTCAGTGTTTTGAGTCCCAGACCTGGTTGCTTAAAAATCACGCCAGGTGCATATTCACGTATGCCCCAAGTCCCAAGAGGAGAATGGAAATAGAGCTGTTGTGTGGCCACACCTCCAGGGATGATTTCTCCCCACACCCCCTTCTCTCTCTCCCTCTCTCTCCATAGCCAAGGGGGGAGAGGGAAAGGTGCAGCCAGAGCAAACAGGTAAGTTATATAAAGAAAAAAATAAGAATTTCCCTAGATTTCAAATCAGAAACTATACATAGCAGTGTGGCCATACCTCCAGGGATGATTTCTCCCCACCCCCCCCCCTTCTCTCTCTCCATAGCCAAGGGGGGAGAGGGAAAGGTGCAGCCAGAGCAAACAGGTAAGTTATATAAAGAAAAAAATAAGAATTTCCCTAGATTTCAAATCAGAAACTATACATAGCAGAGGATAAATGAACGAGGTCTTTATAGTGCTAAAATAAATTGTCAACCTAGAATTCTACAACACGGACAGGTAGGGATTTTCAAAAGTAAGTGTGAAATAAAGCCTTTGATCAGAAAATCAAGATCTGAGAGAACCTGCTGCCAACAGATAATCAGTGTAAGAAACATTAAAGAAAGTTCCGCAAGCAGAAGGAACAAGATACCAGATGGAAATCTGGATCTCCAAAAAGAATGAAAGGCTTGATTGGAACTAAAAATTATGTGACTATATAAAAAGATGTTGTTATAATATCTTTTAAAAATAGCTGATCATTAAAGCAAAAATAATAAAAATGTATTGTGCTTAAAGCATATAAAACACAAAACAAAAACAGGAAAGTATTGTATATTTTTGAATGACTTTCACATGAAGTAGTACATCATTTTCACATGAAGTAGTACATCATTTAAAGATAGACTGTAATAAGTCCAAGATATATACTACAACAGTAAAAACTAAAATTAAAGAGATCTAAAAAACCAATTCTGAAAAGAAAAATGGAATCCGAAAGTAAACTGAATAGGTACAAAAAGCAGGAAAGAACAAATGTGACAAAAGAAATAAATAGCAAGATGACTGACTTAAATTCAACCAATATAAAAAATTGCATTAAGTGATTTACAATTCTAGTTAAAAGGCAAAGGTTGTGGAAATGGACTAAAAAGCAACTATATGCTGCTCATAGGAAACCTATTTTAAAACTATAGAGACACAGGTAAAAGAATGTGAAATCATATGAAGCTGAAGTGACTACCTTAATAGCAGACAGGCTTCAAGGAAGAGAACATTTTATAATGACAAAGTTGTAAATTCATCAAGACGGCACACAACTCCACGTAGATTACTCAATAAGAGGCCTTCACGAGACCAGCAGGTGCTGTAGTGGTTAAAATGTTGGATTCCTACATGGCTGACTGAGTTTCAAGTCCTGGACCCAGCAGCTTGAAACTCAGGCTGGGCATGTGTGGGTGTGTGCCCAAAATCCCAAAGGGAGAATAGAGGAGAAGGGATGGCAGCATGGCCATCCCCCTTGAGGGGTGATTTCTCACTATCTTTCTCTCCGTTTCTCTGTCTCTCTGGCAAGTGCATGAGCCCTACAGCAAAAATCTCTCAAAAATAAAGGCCTTGAAAATAAATGCAAGAGGGACCAGCAGTTAGCGTAATGGCTATGTCGCTGGACTATGTAGTCGACTGTGGTTCGCATCCTGAATCCGGTGGCTTAAAACTCACGCTGGGCACGTGTGCGTGCGTGCCCAAGATCCCCAGAGAATGGAGAAGGGACTGTGGCGTGGCCATCCCCCCTGGGGAGTGATTTCTTGCTTTCTGTCTGTCTGGCGAGTGCACGCGCTCTATAGCAAAAACCTCTAAAAAATAAAATTAAATTAAAAAATAAAAATAAAAAATAAATGCAACAGAAACTGACAGAACTGAAATAGACAAATCTATAATCATATTTTGGCATTCCCTCTCAGTAACAGATGTACAGAAATATAAGTAGAGAGAAAATAAATATGTATATAAAAGGCCTGTACAACACTATCAAATAACCTGACCTAAAACACTCCACTAGACAACATAAATCATTTTCATGTGCAAATGGAAAATTCACTAAAATGGACTATAGACTGGCATATAAAGCAAGAATTAAAATACTTAAAACATTGAAATAATGTAAAATGTGTTCTTTACCCACAATAGTGTTAAACTAGATGCCAGATAAACATTAAGAAAAACTACAACTATTTGAAAAATTAAATAATCCTTTTAAATAATCCAAGGGCTAAAGACAAAAAAATAAATAAATATTTTAAAGTAAATGAAAAAAAAAAAA